TAAAAGCAGGACAAAGAAAATAAAATGCAGAACTTTGTACTTAAAAGTGTGTTCAGATTCAACAGAGAAGCGGAACCATCTGTTGCCTATTTTGCAGGCTGAGAGCAGTAAGAAAAATATCAGTTCCAAGGAAGAGCTACAATTTAATATCTCTGAATTAAGTGGCACCATTGTGAAGCAAGGATTCTTAGTGAAACAGGTAAATACCATCTTTGAACCTTCACTGAGAAACAAGAAAAATGACAGCTCCTAGGGCTTTCTAGAGGATAAACATGATGTATACAAGCACTGCTGGACAGTTGTGGCCAGCAGAGCTAATTTGCCTGTCAGTAATACTGTCGCAGCTCATGTGGTGAAAAATGTCTAGTTGTAAAGGAATGAGCTATGGAATTTGCTGCTCAAGCAGGATTAATTGGATATTCTGTATGTATTGAGTCTATACTGAAAAGTATAAAATAGTATCAAAAGCAAAAGTCCCATACAAAGTCCAAACGCCACTGGAGGCGTTATATGCACTTCCAAGCAGAAGCTCTGTTCCTCTGGTCAAACCTGTCCCATCCAGGTCATGTGAGTAGCTATGGAATTCTGCTGGCAACAGACAAATTTCAAAGCTGAGTAGATTGACTTTTACATGAAGTGGACATTTACCTCTGTACAGTCACTCACATACACATGTGAGCTCTGGTAGTAGTGAGACCTGTTTTCTTTGGCCACAAGAAAGTCCTCTTTACAGGATCCCACCTATAGGCTGCAAGACTTGATTTTCAACCCTTGCTACGAAAAAGACAAGGATCAGTCATGCTGTTTCAAAGCATAACGCAGCCACCTGCAGAGAGAAACCTACACTAGTAGCTCCACTACTCTAGAGCTTTGTACCATGAGCTGTGATTTTAGCGTTGTAAAAACTGGATTATCAGATGTATTTAAGCTGAAATGAAGAGAAGGAATCAGGGATATAATTGCTTGGTCCTGTCACTCTCTTTTCTTGGTTCTTAGCACAAGGAAGGGAGAGAGGAAGGAATTATCAATGTATGAAGAAGGATGTTAAGCAGAAAATCCTGGGAGTTACCAAGATGTCAGAAAAGATTTTTCTCTGTTGGCTCCAAAACCTCTTATTTTCAGTACCTATTTAGGTGTCCCCTACAGCCTGCAGGGAAATGGTCATTTCAGGGGATATTTACTGTTGGTAACTTTAATTCTTCTGTGTTGCAGGGACACAAGAGGAAAAACTGGAAGGTGAGGAGATTTGTTTTGAGAGCTGATCCTGCTTTTTTGCACTACTATGACCCTACTAAGGTAGGTAAGTGGGGATTTGCTATCCCCAGATATCCTCTTACAGACCTGAACATTATAATGAAAATATAATCATGCTGTAGATGTTTCTCATACTCAAATCTCCTTCTAGGTTCCTCTCTCCATTTCCTGGGGATTAAGACCTCTCTTGCCTTACCCTGGGAGATTGTCCTTGTAGGATTTTCTATTCCTATATCTTCCATCCTGTCTTTCCCCAGTGAGATTCCTTTTCCTTAGGCAAGTCTTCTTGGGATTTGTCTTCTGCTGTACTTACACAGTCTGGGACTTCTTCCTGGGCTGTGATCTTTCTGGGCTGACATCCCACCACTTGAGGGTCATACTGCTACTGGGATTTTCATTATTTTATTCCAACACTGGGGAGGGTCTTCTTGATGCCAAAGTATCTATAGGCATTACAGCTACTCAGTTTTAAACTTGCTCAAGGAATAGTAGAATTTATCTTAATGGATTTAATAATCAATGGGAGCAACCCAGAAGGGTATATGGATCCATCCACCCCAGGTGTATAGGGTATCCCAAAGGCCAACATGTTGCTAAAAGAACATGTGACTTTTTCAAGAAAACACAAACACCATAACAGTGAAAAGAGCTTATGGAGTGGGTTCATTTTCTGTTGCCTGTTTCTTTGTGGGATTTTTATTTTTGCACTGCAACTCACCCTTGTAATGTTATAAACTCAGGCTGCAGAATCTGAAGATCAGACAAGGGCACCAGCCTCCTAGAGAAAACAGTCAAATTTTTCCCATATATTTTTTCCCATATGTTTTCCCCTATGTTCTCAGTGAAAAGCAGCAGAAATATATATTTTAATATGGATTGTTATCGATAAGACTATACATAAGTTTAGAATGTGATTGTTATCCTACCCATGTGTTTAATTGATCTCCACCATTCCCAGATACATCAGGCAAACATCTAAGACTGAAACAACATATTAATGCATTTAATTACATGTCCTAATTGACTTCTCTTATAACATGGATGTTTTGTACCTGGAAAGACTGGTACTACATCTCCATCTTCATAAAATTAATTGATGTGCTCTTGGAAATAATTCTAATGATGATATTTTCCCAATAAGCCTGATTTCCTTTTCCTCTTCAGGAAGAAAACAGGCCAGTAGGTGGATTTTCTCTTCGTGGCTGTCTTGTCTCAGCTCTGGAGGATAATGGAGTCCCAGCAGGTAAGCATGAGCCTCTAAACGTTCATACATACATATTTATGCCATAGCAATGCAGTGTTTAGGTGTGGGTTTGTGTGTGGCTGCCTGTATGCACAAGTGGGCTGACCTCCCTTTCCCGTTTGCAAGCAGCGAAAGAGGCACATCATAAAAAATCCCCATACTGCTGGGTTGTCCACACCAGGAGGGATTTTTTTAGGGTTATTTCCACTTCCCTTGGGTGTTCCCCTTCTTAAGGGCTTTTCTCAGTCAGATGACCTTTGAGACAGTCCTAAAACACTCATTAATGTTCCAGAATTAACAGACAAAGAGGAAACAGTTTCTTTTTGGATGTTGTTTAATGAAGTCTTGAGTCATCCCCTGATGCCATCCCTTTTCTGTGTTCTCTCTAATTATGCTATTACCTTTTCCTTTTCAATCTGCTATAACCCAAATGTAAGAGAAACCTAAAGACAGCAATACAAAAACCAGTTCTGCTAGTAAATATGCTTAGCGTAGGCATTTGTCCAGAACTTCACCCTCACAGATAAGAGTTTCTGCTGTTAAAGCAAATTATTTTGACAGTAAGCACAATGTGTGGATCTTAATTAGGAAACATCTTTCTAAAGACAAAAGACAGGGTCTGAAAAATATGAGGTGCAGGGGGAAAGGGGGCAAGAACAATAGAGCCCATTGCTAACAAGAACCCGAAGTTGGGCATAAGCAAATCTTATCTACTGCACAAACTGGTCAGGAGTTCATCCCTCCATGGTATAACTCAAGTAAGATTCTCCATTTAAACAGTGGCTATTTTATATGTGATGCATAGTGAACAGTAGTTCATACAGTCTATGTGAAGGGTGTCTGTACTATATCTTCATTTTGCAGAAGGGAAATCAAAGACACAAGAGCTATCTATAATGAAATGGAAAGGTCTGATATTCTAATTCACTAAATTAAAAATCTTCCTTATGAAGCTTCACATGCACCACAAGGCATTTCTCTGTGCAGCTTCCTGATCTGCCATATTTTTTTCTCTGCAGGAGTGAAGGGCAACGTGCAAGGCAATCTCTTCAAAATCATCACAAAAAAAGACATTCATTATTACATCCAGGCCAGCTCCAAGGCAGAGCGAGCACAGTGGATTGAGGCAATCAAACCACTGACATGAGTAAGGTGGACTCCATGCCAAATGACGAGTCACATCTGTGACCAGGTTTCCTGCTCTCATTGTCTGTGACTGTTGTTTTGCTCTTAGATAGTCTATTCTTGTTATTTGTATTTCCATAGCACCCAGCAATTCCTGACAGACCAGCATCTTAGGTGCCTAGGAGTCATGTAGATCCAGAATAATTCCCCACCAAGAACTTAACCATCTAACAAAAGACAACAAGTGGATACAGGCAACAGGGCTTTACAAAGAAACAATGAGATACAATATTCCAAGGTGGAAGAAAATAATTACTTTTGTACAAGTATTCAGTCTATATTTGACAGATTCAGGTTGTGCTTTATCCTAAAGCAGAAATGCCTTGTTCCTTTCCCCTTTATAAAGGGGTTTATAAACTTAATTAGTTAAGACTGACTGAATCAAAGTCATGAAAGGTCCTGATGTCTAAGGCTGCCTTTCTTGGTATACACAAGAGCCTTGTGCTAAGCCACAATCCAGCTGCTAGGATAATCACTAATGCAAAACAACAGAAGTGTCTGTCCGTCTGTCTGCTCTACCATTTGGTTCTCTGTTAGGTTGGAAAAGACCAAAGGATCTTCCTCTCCAGTATATAAATTATTCTTGTGCTGGTAATGTACAGCAGTACAGGATCCTGAGTATCAAAACAGACCAGTGGCAGTTATTCCAGACAAATGCCTTTGCTGAAGATATTGGATAAAATCACCCAGCCATAGAAATGAGACTTTTCCTCCTGATTATGACAGTAAATTCACTTATGTGGAACACCACTGGGACTAAGAGCTCCAATAGCAGTTAGGACTATTGCTTTTTCTATTTTAAGTCATTAAATCTTCTATTATTTGTCCTAATACTGACTTTGGTATCATTACATTTTTTTAAAAAGGTCAGTGCATTTGAATCTCCTGTGCTCTTTAAACATGATTTCTCAGAAGGCAGTTTGAATATATGAAAATGACAGTTTCATACATTGTAAATTTAGATTTTTATGGAAACTCAGACATTCTCCACAACACCAGAGAGTATAATGGAATGTATAAGATGATTAAAACACCTAACCAGCCTGCTGATACACTATTTTCATAAAATTCCTCATGTTATCTGAGTACCCATATCTGACAGCCAGACTCTGCAGAGACTCCAGAATCACTTGGAAGACAGCATGCTATACATCTTCCCTGAAGTCACAGAGGAATTTGGTAGCCCTCTACCCACAGAACCACCTCTTTGCAGATTTTTTGATCTCTAAGTTATGTACCAAAACCAAAAAACCTCTTAATTTAAAATCTTTTCCTTCATGTGTTATAACCAACCAATTATAGCCAAAGACAGCAGCTATAATGTATGTTTCTATAGGTATTAAAATAGCCATGTATTTAGGACTTCTTTTTTTCTAAATATACAGCAATGAAATAACAGCACAACACTCACGTGCATTCAGATATTTAACAGACCTGGTAAAGAAGTTTGCCAGCAAAGATGCAGTTTTAATTAGGTATAAGAATGTGCAATGCAGTTTGAGCTACAGATACCATTTCCTAGGGCTGGTCCAAAGAAGGCTGTGAAATCCACAGCTGTTGAAAACTTACAATTCATGCTACCTGCAAGAGACAGGGGTGCTGGTAAGGCATTTATTGCTCTGTACTGGGAAGCACAGATGGCTTTGTGCTGATTGAGCAGAGGTCCTAGGAAAACCAATTCCTCCTGATAACGTGAACCCTACTGGGCCCACCAGGCTCCATTATTCACTCATATGAAAATCTCCTGCTTCTCTTTTCTCAGACCCACCATCTGTACACTGTCCAGTTCTAGTCATAGGGTAACAGCCACCCCATTTCAGAGGACTGAGCTCCACCAGCTGACATGCCAGGGGGGTTAGGGGATGTGAGATACTGCATAGCATCGTAAATCTTGCAGTTTGTGAGGCCAAAAGAGTATCTCAGCAAAGGCTCTCTGATTTACCAGGAGAGTAGATCAGGACCAGCCACAGCTCTGCAACTGTTGAGTGTGTATGAGAAAAAAAGTGTATATTTCAAACACATCAGCAAATTAAAAAGATACGGTTCCGACTCTCCAGAATCAGCCAGGGGGAAAAGATAAAACATTTCTCAGACAGAAAAAAGTACATTTGCCTCTGTCCCCTGGTGATATTATGGTCTCTTTTTTTTTCAAGCCACTTTGGTAAGTTTGATGTCCCCTGAGATCTGCAAAGCTTTCACCAAGTTCAGGGGCTGAATGCGGTGAGTGAAGTCACAGAGCTGCCGTCCATCAAGCAAGACTCGTATTTGCTGATGTTCACATAAGAGCTCCATCTGCAATGGAAAAGGACAGGGGAGAGTGTTAGAGATCAGCATGAGAGTTGATTTTGCCATCATGGACTTAGAACCCCATGTGATGGGGATAGTGAAGCACAAAGTCTACCCATTTTTCTAAAATGCCCTAATAAATAACCTACTCTCTGTTGAGATGATTCTGTAAAGCTCCTTATAGTGAGTTCTCTCTTTAAGACTAGAGAAGGGCTTGAAGTGTTGCTCTCTGTGTCATAGTAGACCACTTAACCCACCAGTGTTAATAGTTAGCTATTTGTGATCATATATGTAGCCTTCAGCCTTTTTCTCCTCCTTTTCTCCATTCTATTCATAGTAGCACAAAAATTACCTTAAATGTGTCACCTGCTGTAAATGGGAAGTAGGGAATAGTCTTCTCTTCTCTTCCCCACTTCCCAGCAATTCTTGCATTTCGGGTGATGGATTTGTCACTAAAGTTAACTGTAAATAACAGCCCAACATCTTTGTTTGCATCCACTGTATCACAGAGCAGTGTCACTGAAAAGCTGAAAAAAATACCAGTTAAACAACAGGGTCTTTCAGAAGGATAAAATGACATGGTAAACACAGCAGATGCCTGTAAAGACTAGAGACAGCCCTTGATTTCTTGTCATGCTGAAACACAGGACTTTTACAGGCTTAGAAGCTGCAGAAAGGTATGAGAACAGTCTAGTCTTTGTTTTTCCTCCAGTTTTCAGTAGGATGCTAGTGACTTTTGATGTTGCTTTCTCTCTCTTGTGACTAAAATCAAACGAACATTTGTGCATGAGCCAATTCTAAGTTGTGTCTTGAAAGAGGTTACAGCAAAGTCTTTACCAGTGGAAGCACTGAAGTTATCAAGGTAGCTGCAAGAAAGTGTAATCATAAGCATAGTTGCTGTCATCCTCATTAAACATAGCAATGAACCTGCACCTCCTGTGCCAAAACACATGAGTTTTTAAATGGTGATGATTCCAGCCCCCAGCAGATGATCAAGACAGGTTCAAGACTGCACCTCTTCCTGGAGGAGAAATGCCACTTGTGTGCCCCTCTGTTTTGCACTAGATAAGAGCAAGAAGTAGGAAATCCTGACAGGGCAGTCAGAAAGGCTGAACAGTGAATTCTTTCTTGCTCTTTTAATCTTAGTCTAAGAGCAGGAAAATTAAAGCTATGAATTATGAATCTGTTTGATTTTCTTCCTCCAAAGAGCACAAACTCTCAAGAAATCTTTTGAATTCGGAAGACAGGTAGGAGCATGTGTGACAGGGTGAACCTCCCACCAGCCCCTTTACCTACCTCTTGGGGTTGGAGTGCACCATTCCTATGACTGTGAGTTTCATGGCTGGTCTCAGGCCACCTTTAATTTCACCAACATAATGCTCCACCTGCAGGGAACAGTGATAGTGTGCTGCAGTAGGTGATGCTGTGGGTAAACCAGCTTTAACGGTTGCTTGGGTCACCTCATGTAATTTGATTTAATTTTTACATGTACAGAAGAATTCAAAAATATTTCTGGCCTTAAGTACATCTGGCACTTTCAGTATAAATTCTGTCAGTTCTGGTATCCAAGTGAAGCAAGAAGGCTGCCATAAGTGAATGAATGACTGGTAATGAGGCATCGGCTGTCAGGACAAGACAGACAGCTCTGGCTGGGCAGTTTCTGACCAAAACTGCTGTCAGTAAGAACAGTGGCTGCTGTTGGAGCTCTGCCTGACTGATAGGTGGATGGCATGTCTCAGGTGGCTCTGGGAACAGCCACCACTGACTTTAGGTGACTGATGCCACTCCCCAAGACTAGAACAGGTACTGCAAGTGCTGCGGTGACCCACACGGAGTGCCAGGACCCCGACAGCTGACACATCTGGGATGAGCCAGTGATGGCTGCTATGCTGTAATGATACAATAGATCTGGTTGCAGCGCTCCATGCGGCACGTCAAAGGCTTTGTGGCAGCATGATGCAGAGGGCAGGTTCTCTGTGAACTAACTCTGCCAGCACAAATTTGTTAAGAGATTTCAGCAGGCTAACTTGACACCAGCAGGCTTTATACCAGGCCAGGTAGCCTCTGTTCTCCACTGTAAGAGCATGAAGCCAGCACAGATGCTGCTGAGCCCCTGTGTGTTGACAGAAACACAACTTTGTCCTCACAGATGATCCCAATCATACCTGTTCCCATCTGTTTATATCAAAGCCATGTAGCTGCAAACTCCACCCAAAGATTAGAGCTGTATTTACTTTCCAAGTCCTACCCTAACAGCCTTGATGGTTGGTGGAGAAATTAATACAGGTAATGAGTGACAAGGAAAAATAAAAGAGAGCTCTTGGAAAAAAGTGTTACGAATGATCTGAGACTTCAGTTGCAGAAATGGCTTTAAAATGTAAATGCCAGAGTAGTACCCTGTAGCATGTAATTACTCCCTATGCAGATTCACTTAGAAAGAAGCTCCTATAAAACACTAAGCGTTATTAGCAATTTGCTTAGCACTGATAATATTTCAAGGCGATGCGCAGCAGACCCTATTGTAGATAAAAAGTGCGTTATCGTTCCAGTGTTCCAAGGTAAAAATTCAGGCATTTTTTGCTAGAAGATCTGCGTAATATATGCATGGTTTAGTACCTTGACTATGAGAAGCACTACATCAGCATGGAAATCCACAGAAGTCTGCTCATAGTAAATGGCCTTCTATTCCAGTGTAAGTTGCTGTGGGTATTCCATACCCATTTTTAAATGTTGAAAAATATAAACAATGTTAGATTTTTACATTATTGAATGCAACCTTGCTTACCAGAAACACAAATCCAAGACTTAAACTGTTTTGCCTACACTCCATTTCTTAATTTCAATATACCAGTTATGTTTTCTGCTAAGATGATCTTAATTTCTTTTTCCATCTTGATACTAACAACTAGCAGCCTTTAAAGCTTCACAGATATATTAATAAATATCTAACTCCTAACAAGGGCAATACTAGAAGAAAATAATTTAAAAGTACCTTTAAAAATGACAGCACTACTGCTGATTGTTAATAAAGCACATTTAGCCTTGCAGAAGTGGGCAGGTATATTTTGAACTTTGTAGCAAAAGAAAAATGTCAACCACCTGAGATGTCTTAGCTGAGGGTGCAGCTCCTCAAGTAAGGAGTCTGACTGTAAGGAAATACTTTAAACTGGATAAAGCAATTACAGAGTGGGTAATAAGCATTGAAGATCCCAGGCTAAGTGAACTTCATCCTCCACAGGTCCTGTGCCCTACTAAAGCTCCTTCCTTGCCTACATGAGACAAGATATAAAATAATACCCCAAAATGAAAGCGCATATTGAGGAACTGTTTGTGCAGAGTTGCACCATAATAAGCCCCATCGTTATCCTGCCCATGGCAATGAGGTTGGAACTAGATCATCTTTAAAGTCCCTTCCAACTCAAACTATTCTATGAGTCTATGATTAAAGGCATAGGGAATCAGAATAGAACACACAATAACCATATGGTTTCAACACTTAAAGCTCATCTAGCACACTGAAGTAAGTTCAGAGGCATGACTACCCACAGCCCTTTCTCTGCCAATACTGACTTGACAGTACAGGTGAAAAATACTCAGGATGCCGCAGCAGGTAATGGTACAAACTCCTGCAGTGTCTTACAGAGTGTATTGGTGGGTCTCTGAGCAGGTGCAGACAGACATAGCCCCCTTCCCATATTTCCCATTCAGGAGCCCTGAGGACTCACTCGGTCACTTACTTTGGGACACCTCTCCTCTGTCATCACCGCTCTGCCTCTTACGCTTGCCTCAGCCGCAGCGGTCCCCGGAGGAGTTTTGTTTTGTGTGTCAGGACAAAAGCAATCAAAAAGCCCAGAATAAAGGGAGGATGTCGGGGGTAGCTTATCTCTGCCAAACACTGGCAGGACACCACCCAGCCAAGCAGCTGAGTCATGGTCCTCTGTGCCTTGTCCCACTGCAAGAGCTCACAAATAGCATGGCTGGTGACAGTGAGCGGGCTGGGGGACAGCAAGGGTGGGCAGGGCCCCGCCACCCCACACAGGGGTGCCTGCCAAGCCTATGTCTGCAGTTATAGATGTATCTATACCTACAAGATTATGAATTTAAAATTATGTGTGTGTGCATAGCGTATTGTATTTGTATGTGTAATTCACATAAGCAACATGTCATTCATTTACTTGCGTAACATTTCTGTCCTCTCTCAAAGGAGAGGACAGAATATATATATGTATATTCCCCGTATATATTTACTTACATATACATAATAGTATGCGTTTTGTATATAATAGTATATATGTTTTGAATATATATGTATATATTATGTATTAATATATGCATGTATGAATATATATTTTGAATATAAGTGTATTATATACGACTAGTATATGTTTTGAGTAATGGTATATTTGTATATATATATAAGTAATAGTATGTTTGTAAATAAACATATAGGGACTATATAATAATATATAGGGATATGTTATATATAGAATTTCTATCCCTATACAGACCTATATAAAGTGAAGCACACATATAGGGTAAATGATAACTCCCGGTAACACCCCTGCACTCCCCCCACCCCCTCCGCACGGCACGGCGCCGCAGCAGGGCGGTGCCACTGCGCGCCGGGGGGGCGGGGGCACAGCTTCGTGCGAGAGCCAATCAGAATCACGAGAGGCCCGAGGCCGGGGCGTGGTCAGCTGTGAGGGCGGGGCTTGGCTGGCCGGGCTCCCGAGGCGGGGTCAGGCTCTCCCTCCCAAGGAAGATGGCGGTTTGTTTACATTCCGCCCCAGCTCGGCCAATGGGCGGCCGTCTGCCCGTGTGCCCGCCCGGCGGCGCGGTCAGCTGAGACGGTGCCCAAGATGGCGGCGGCGAGGGGTGGTGTTGGCGGGCAGGTGCAGTAGAGCTCAGTGCCGAGCGGGTGGCCGCGTCCTGCCCGACAGGTAACGCGGACCGCGTCAGGACGGGCCCCGTGCGGGGGAGGGTGAGGCTGTAGTCGGGTGCTCGGCAGAGTGCGCGGCCCAGGGCGAGTGGCCGCCACCACCCCTAGAGACAGTCCCAGCCTGCCGGGGCGGGCGGCCCGGGGTTCGGGCGGTGGTGCGGCCACTCGCTTGTTGGTGCTTGTTGGCACCTCCCCTGTGGGAGGAATCCCCCTGAGGCATGGCCTTGGCTCTCTGCCTGTCCCTGCCCCGGGCGCGCTGTCAGTGCGAAGAAGAAATCGGGGTAGTGCCTCAGAGCGCCCTCACCTACCGTGCCACTCTCGCCTAAATCACCCTGTCCCAGGTCACCAGCCCATGCTGGGAAGATGCACTCTTTTGGAAATGAAGAAGCAGTGTCTCAGGAGCAGCTGTTTGGGTTCTTCTGCGAGTGTGTACGGCATGGAGACTGGGAGCTTGCGCAGGCCTGTGTGCCCCAGCTGAGCCAGTGGCCCGGGGATGGCCCCGAGAAGGTGGAAGCAATTCTTCAGGCTCTGGTAGCTTGTCCCATGGGAATAAAGTAAGTAAGGTAGTGTTTTTTTTTCAGTAGGCTCAAGTGTGAAATGAGGAGGAGCAAGCAGTTTAGCGGTGACTGTGGGAGGCAGGTAGAATCTGGGAAGCAGCACTTGCTTCAGTGCTGAGGTGTCTTGGATGTGTCTAGGTGTGCTGTAATCTGAACAGTGACATTTTAGCATTGCTCAAGCACTTAGCAGGCTGCCCAGCCCACTGAGATAATGAGCTGTTTTTATATATACAGTTGACATGGTGATTGTTACAAGCTTAAAACTATTTGTAAGCATTTCAGAAACGATTTTGTTTGATTTTACTGAAGGATAAGAAGGAGAAGGAACATATCCTGAAATTGCATTAATTTGACAGCTTCAGTTAATTTAGAAATGAAACCAGCAAGATCAGCCCTGTGTTATTTAAATTGTTCTCTTGTTCCCAGCTCTTGAAAGACCTTGCAATTTCTAAAAACTTTAAAAAAATCAAATTATGCTATTAATTTTTTTTTTTAATTTCTCTCATGCTCTATTTTGAAAGGGCATTGCTTTTACTCAGTCCTAGTTAATTTTGATATTTGCTGAAATTTTCAGGTAGGTGCATGTGAAGGGTGACTTCCTAGCACTTCAGGGAGCACTGGTATTCCCATTCTCCAAGCAGATGTTCATTAACATTTGTGTAACGTTTTGGTAAAATTCTAAAAAACAGTTAGGGTTGACAGCAATTAAATGAATCTGGAGGGAGGCGTGCACATGGTTTGATAAATTTGCTAATGGCCATGTGAGACATAAGCATTTTTGGTCTTTTTATCTTTGATAGTTGGGCTATTCCATCTAAGGGCTTTTGTTAGCAGTGCTAAGATTTTTAAAGGCCCATAAACTATCTTGCACTTTTTCCTTTTCATAGTCCCTCTGACAGTAGTTAATATGTTCCCTAACTAATATGTATGTGTAGCTTTTGGAATGTGTGTATAAGTACTGGAGCACATGAAAAGTTGATGGAAATTAGAAGTATTCTTTAATTAGTACATTACTTCACTTTTAGTCTGGACATAGAGCTGCACTTGTGCTGCTTTGACCTGAAATTGAGTTTCTTTTTTTCTGGTAGAACTAGACAGTACAGGAAATATCAGTATTTGGCAAGTGGTTGGATTTCAAAAAAAATCTGCTCAAAGAGGGCTACACAGGCTGAACTTTAGACCAGAAATAAGTGTCATGGTTTTGAAGCAAATAACTATGGCAGTAGTGTTTGATATCTTTCAGATCTAAAAGCAGTTAGTTCCACAGCAGATATCATTTAGTTAATGTGTAAGTAGCACCACTATTCTGGTTTCTCTGCATAAATATAAAAGTCCAAATGATCTCTGGCTGTTTTCCTGGATGTCAGAAATGGGAATGACCTTGTATAATCCAGTGTATGTCCTTACTGCTTTTGTAGATGGGAACAGAATTCTAGCCCATGGAGAACTGCATGGCTTTGGCTTCTTGTGCTGGAAAAATGGCTTGCCAGGAATCAGGTACAGAAATATCTAGCAGACTTCCAAGTGCAAGTTACAGCTGACTTCCATGGGCAAAATGCCTTCCTAGTTGCTTATTTAAGCTATAGGCTTTCCCACGTTTCACAAAATCAAGGTAGCTGGAGAGGGCACACTGCTTTTCCTCTTAACAAACTTGTTAAGAAACAACGGTTGACCTTCTCCGCACTGGGGAGAAAAAACGGAATTTTTCTTTTTTTGCTTAGGTAACAGAAGCTGGCTTTTTAGTATTGAGCATTTCTGTAAGTGGAAAGCATGAGTGTATTGGCTTTCGCATTTGCACAACTAAAGATTAAATAGTTCAGGTATGAGACAGATCTTTATAAGCTTTAGGTGGTGAGGGATGTGCTGTTTATATTGCTGTTTTCAGACAGGTGCAGTAGGTATCATGAGTAAAGAAGCAGCTTGTCTATCTTCTCTTTTTTTTTTTAATTGGTATACAGGATGTGTGATCATACTTTTTTTTTTTGTTCATTTGCGCTTGTCACTACTTAGACTTGCATTTTTTTCTTTTCCTTCTGAGGAAAGATCCTGAAATTGATGGCATTGCAATTCCTGACAAAGTGACACTCATCTCTGTTTGCAAATATATAGATAAATGGAATCCATTGGTGCAGGAGCATAACCTAATTGTAGAATAGCTTCTAATTGAGAATTAGGTATCTGCTGAGAGATAGTTCAAAATATTAATGATAATAGATTGGGTTTATATGTAATGTAAATAAATAAAAGTTTTATTGATTAATGTCTTTCCTTTCTCTTACACTATTTCAGAAAACTGTTCCAGTTGTTCTTCAGAGAGAAACTGAATTTTTATTGTTCTTGGAAGAACTACAGAAAGATGTCTCTGAGGAAGTCCTAAAGGTGAGCAATTTAGTATGCCCTGCTTCTTGTCGTTATTTATGCAGAATGTCCAACTTTGTCAGGTTTGGGGATCAAAGTTAATGCTTCCTGCTGAATTCAGTGCCTGGGGTGGTAATGTGTTATTAATCTTCTAGGCAGCTGAAAGGACTGTAATTCAGATCCCTTTCTGAAGTTAATCCAATGTGCCTGCGAGTGCTTTCTCTGGCTACAGAGAAGGCTGTAGGCAGGCAAGGAACAAGCTTTTCTGTGTGATCTTTCTAACATACTTCAATCCTTACTGCAGCTACTTGCCACAGACTTTTATCTATACACACCTTTAGTAATCATGAAGTTAAAACCCACTGTGAGCCAAAATAAACCATAGTCAGCAAGCACATTTTACAAGTATGTCTATTTTCTTCTTCTTCCTTCTGAGATCTTAATTTCCACCTTCTATGCACTCCTTTCTTGGAAGTTTTTTGGGTGCTGTAGTGTTACTACTGACATCATGTGGTAATTGGTATGATGTATACTCTGAGGTCAAGGACCAGTTTTTCTGTAATTCTTTAATACAGCAGACTGATATATTTGAGAAATACATGGAAATACACAAAGATGGATTAATATCAAAAGCAAGTATAGAGCAGAAAATCAAGAAAGTTGCTAACTGCAGAACTGTGCTAATTTGGCATTGGTTACAACAGGATTAGATGTGGCATGATATGTGGAATGTTCTCAGATGTTGCTTCTACTTTTATAGGTTCTAACTCTTAAAAGAATTTTTTTTAAGTTGAAAATGAAATCTTATTATATCCAGACACTATTTGCAGCTTTTAGATATGAATAAGGGAAAGGTGTTCAATGTTTCTCTTAAGGATACAGAATTAACAATTGCAGGCTGAAAGCAAGCAAGGTAAACTTGACAATTGATTGAAATAAATCTGCTTGAAGTCTGTTCATGACTGCTGAAGTCTGCGTACATTATCATCTAACCTCTAAGGTTGTGAAAGATTCCACTATTGTCCACAGCGTTGCACAGAA